TGATTCTTCGATTTCACACTGTAACAGCAGGAAACCAATAAATTTTTACCGTCCGCTTTCGGCGCAGTCGCGCGCGGACGATAAAGCCGCATGTTTCTATCGCGCGGTTTCACGTGTATTTTTGCCCCATGGCGGCGACACGCAGCATTGCTCGGAGCCTGAATATTAGGCAATCTAACGCGTCCAAGGCTAGCTAAGCCTTGAGCCGCCTTTCCAAGTGTTTCACTAACCCGACCGTTCGCTCGATCGCGACTACTGTCCCGAGTCTCCTTACGATTAGCTTCACGATCGCTTCTTAGCCTGCTCCAAATCTTTATCAAAGATTATTAGGACAGCGCATTATCGCCATTACATAACTGTTCTTAATAAAACTACACTTAGTTTTTTTTTTACCAAAAGATGACTGATGGTTTCTTAGACAAGCCGCACAATTTCGTTTTCTCATTTTATTGGCAGAGAAAGATGAGAGAGAGAGAGAGAGAGAGAGAGAGAGAGAGAGAGAGAGAGAGAGAGAGAGAATACAAATATATTTACGGTTTAATTCTTTCTATCATTGTCAACACTTTGTATAATTCTTTCTCGATTTGAAAGAGTGCATGATCTTCTTAAGCTTTGATCTCTGCGATACATCAAAAGCGATACAGAGCACTGATCTATTTTTATGCCGTACACGTCCTCTCGCGCGATTCATTGATTTCGATTTTATCTTCTCAATGGCACCGATGCCATATCGATGGCGATAAACCGTGTACGCGTCTTTGGCCTGTTTGTTCGGATCGGTTCGGATCACCGGCTCGCCGCACGTCGGCAGGGAACCAGTTTTTCCGACTCGGATGAAAGACCGGTTGGATCGCGCGACGGTTTATGTAGCTGTCGAGGCCCGATTGTTTTACCCGGTCTAACTGGAAAGCACGATAATTGCTATTTAAGATGAAGACCATCGAAACAAAAAGTTGCATCACCGTCGCGCCGAGTCGCGATCGGCGCGTTATCCATGAAGCGAACCAAACGCTAAACGCACGATATTTTATGATAAAAGCGATCGAACAATCGCGATTTTTCGCATGTCTTTGTAGCGTTAAAACAATAGAATAACAAATACAGTAAAATGTATAATAAAATAAACATAATACAGTATACAATCCAAAAAAGAAATTAATAAAACTTCAACCATGATTTAAAAATCTCATAAAATAATTTTGTTAACCAAGTATATTACAATTTTCTAAAATTGCATAATAGCTACTTTGTCAAGAAGAGAAAAAACTCAATAAAAATCCTCATCGTTTCCCGACATTTAAATGAGATAACATTTTCGGGCACTAACAATAAGATGTTTTAATTCATTTACTTTTAGAATGTTTTTTTGAAATTTCAGGAATTTTCAGAATTAAATTCCGAAATAACTGTTTTCAAACTGCATCATTTTTACCATTAATACGAGAAAGCTAGTATCTTCTAAAATCTGGCAGTTTGTTATCAGAATTACCCTAATTTAACTTGCTTCTTGAATCGCTTAGGCCCAGTTTCACAAGTGGTCGGTTAACTTTTAATCTTTAGATTAACTCATCACTCTTCGTCTCTTTCTAAGGGGGACGTTAGAGTGAGTTGAATCTAAGATTAAAAGTTAACCGAGACTTGTGAAACTGGGCCTTAATGTTCACCGAAGTCCGTAATGTCACACGACGATCGATTTCTATTTGCGGGATACAAAAGACCGGCTGTGTGAAAACGTTTCCTCTGTTATGACAAAATAATGTAATTAGCTTCTTGTCCGACTGCTATCTTTCTGCCCCCACTGCGGGCAGTTTAACGTTTGTTTCCTACCAACCGGACGCGAGGACGAGTGGTCCCGTGCTCGAATTATGTAACCGCCGCACTTTCGTCGGCGCCTCTTATGTCAGTGCAATCATGCGACTGTGTCGGCGCGCGTTGACGAAGCAGCGTCAGTAATTCTTTTCTTTTTCGTTCATAAAATTAATTATTCACAACGACTGTCGATTGTACGGAGAGAGATTGTAAAACCGGCATATATTATATTCACATTGATGAGAATACTGTCATGACGCGCGCGCGACGCCAACGTAATCCCGTAATTTCTGCGCATTTATCAATGTGCATTAAAAATCGATTTGTATATAATTCCGTCATGTAACACGATAATTCTCCAGCATATTATCGTATACGCCTGTCGAATCTTTTCGCGGAGAAAGTAAATTTAAGATTAGGAGAAAAAAAAAGAAGCAAGCAAGTTTAATCCTGAAATCCATGTAATCACAACACATTAAGAACCTCTCTCGATCTTGTTACGTCAACATTTTGAACCTAATATGAGTAATTACATAGTTTAGATTATTTAATAAAAAAAACTTTAATATAACACTCTTTTCTTTTTACTTCCAAGCTACAAATCAATTTATTATTCTAATTCGGGGCGCCACGATTAAAACGTGTAATTTACGTGCTGCGGATTAATGAATCGAGTAAGGGTATTATGCGCCGTCACCTGCTAATATTACGACATTAAAGCTAATATCTATTGTCAATATTTATTAAGTCAAAGAGAAAGTTTTGTGATATCGTAATGCCATCAATGATCCATGGTGTGGCGTAATGAGAGTGGGGACGTCATTCGGCCTTTCACCCTGCCGAATATTCACAAAGCCGGACGTAATGTCTCTTAAAAATCACACCAGATTTGCGTCGTTAATGTTTTACAATATGTTTTTGCATTGTCCCTTCGTTCCTTCTTGTAATCATAGTAAACAGCGTTGTTAAAATTAAAACCTGAAAGTTCTGACTTACTCCAAATCAAAATTAAATTAAAGCAAACTACTTTCCGTTTAATACTGGAACTATTAACTCTATTGACACATACTTATATATTTTAATAGGAAAAAAATAGTAGAAATACTTTCCTCTTCATCTCTTTTTCAAAAAATATAAATTGATCCATTTAATCACATTCACATACTGTAACAAAAGTCAAATCTTAGAAAATGCACTATTACAAAATCAAAAATTACGTACCAGTCACTTTGACTGCTTTGGTAGTTCTAGCGTTAATTCTAAAAAACAACCCACTTTATATTTATTTATTTAAAAAACTGAAGGTAGAAGGCTAAGGCTGAAATTCTGTTTCATACTATCATTTGTGATATTCCGCGACGTTAGATTTAGCAAGATAAAAAGTGATTACTGTCCGCACGCGCGCGTTGGACGATAATAATTATTACTATTTATTATCGCGTTCATATCGTCGCTTTAGCGTGCGACAAGAATTACCGGTTGTCAAACGTATCGATCGTGTGTAAGCAACGTTACATTTGCGATACCGTGACGTTATGCGCGATCAAACGAGGAACAGACGTCTGTTTTGACAGAGAGAAAGCAACGGTGTACTTAATATTATACTCGCCATATGTGGAACCTCCCACTCGAAAATTGTGCAACCGAGGGAGGCCCTTCAGAGACGTTTGCTCGTGATAGATAATGCAACGAGAATACTGAACAAACCGACGTGATGACCCAGAAATCCCAGAAATAAAACGCCGCGTCTCCGCGGGCATATACTCCTACAAACGTGGCCTGGAAATAATCGTGTAAATCTTTTACGGACCCGCGCCGCGTTAAATCACCATTTTATTTGTCTTCAAGTCGAACTGCGTCCGCATATTGCATATTTAAGAAAAGAGAATGGAATATGTTAACATTTAAGGAATATAAACACACGCGACGCGACGCAGACATTCGACATTTGCCCAGACAAACTTCATCTACTTTTTTTTCTTATCTTCTTCCTGCCTGCACTAAAAGTCATTCCGTCACGATTGTAATAGCCCAGAGCGAAAGAGATATTACAAGTCCAAACGAACGTAACTTATTATTTCTCTCGGTAAAAAATGTGGGAGTCGCGTCAGAGTAATTTAACGGCAAAATCACGTGCTTGGGATATGATTGCGATTTAATCGTCAAGATAACGATTCTAACGATCCTAATTAATAAAATCGCTTGCACTATTTTTCCCCGAGAATTCCCGTCTTCGACGAGAACACGTTTCCGAAGGGATTATCGACGGTACGGTGTGAATACCACGTACACGCGGGTACCAGTTTGTCGTGGGCAAGAGAGCCCACGCGGATCGAAATCCCGCGCGATCCGTGAGCCGTGGCATAACGTCGCACCGCGGGCTTTACGCTTCGTAACAATGCCCTGACTTTCTCCGTCACTTTCATTTTCGTTGGTCGGCTTGGTCGACTCTCCCGTTTCTCTCTCGCTTGGATTAAGAAATAGTGCGTGCCCCTCCGCCGTGCCCCCGAGTGTGCCCCCGTGTGCCGCGTTCACCAGACCCTCGATCCGCCTGCGGTCGCGATTTTAGAAAGGGTTTCCTACCTCTCTCTCTCTCCTCTCTCAGTGCCTCCGTTCCATATTGGTACCTTCGCGCTATGTGGCACCACGCGAAACGCGTGGCATGCGCGACGCGCCCTTTCCTTATTTCGCGCCTTTCTTTTTTTTAACGCTAGATAGCAATCTGATAGTTGCGTCTTCAGCGTTATCAGTTTTTTTTTTATATAGAATAAAATATTTGATTGGTTCTATTAGTAAATAATTATGAAACAGGAATTTTAATGAATATTAAAGACAAGAACTTTTTAAATTAGCTCTAGGTCTTAATAAAAGTCTAGATATAACCCTTTTTAAATTATTTTTAAGTCTTCATAAATGTAAGAATAAGAAGCTATTTACATAATATGAATAAAGTTATTTTCTTATACTGATCTTAGCCGCAAATTTAAAATAGTTATATGTGCTATAATTTTTTTAATTATAATTATAATTAGAAAAATTATAATTATCTAATTAAATAAATTATGGGATAAATTACAGATAAGCATTATTTATAATATTATTTTTCTAAATCCTACTTAACCTTTTCAGGAACTTTCATCAAATTAAAAAACGAAGAGGGAAAACATGAAAAACATCGTGAAGGGTCAGTATTTTTTTAACACGTATATTTCACTTTCCGTTGAAAAATAATGCCGTAAATCGTCGTAGGAAATAATAGAATCTGCACAAATCAACTCTCATTCTTTCTCTCTCGCTCTCATTCTCTCTTTCTCTCTTTCGTTCTTTCTTTCTCTCTTTCTCTCTCATTTCCTCACTCTCACGCGCGGCGCACCGCTGTTATTCGCTACAAATATTTACAATGACTGGAACTGTCGTCCGAAGAGGGGTTTTCATTCCTGAAGGCGCGAGGGAACGATATCGAAGTGGAGACAACCGGATCCCCAGCGCCACCGGATTTTCTTTCTCAACAGGGGAGGAAGAGTGATTATAGGAAAAGATGAGTATATATATATATACGTATATGTTCGCGCGCGGAAACGAGCAGCGATTCCATTATACAGCGATAGCGAAAAAGTGTGCAGTTACAGCCTACCCTGTTCCTCCATTCAAAAGACATTCACGAATACATCATAGAATCCGACGATTTCTTTAAACGCGCGACTTTAGAGCGTCGCGATAAATAGTATAGCGAGCGATAGTTATTAAATAGCAATATCGATAATTAGTAGATGCGTCTGACAGCAGTACGAGACAAATCGTGAGAGTCGTTCTCGTAACGTGGTTTGCGCGGTAAATCGACAGAGCGGATTAAGGGAAGAGGGGGGAGGGGGGCGCAGGAAACGATGAGTAAAAGACGAGTGCGAGATAAAGTTTCTGGTCGTGGTCAGGAACATGCGACATTTACACATCGAGTACATTTAAAAAGTATCTTACGTATGCCTCGCGCCGCAAATGCGTAATCTTCGCTCGTGTTTTCGATTTGCACCTGTTACTCGCATGAAGCCGAATCTAGACAAAGGATACACGAACGCGAACGAGCACGAATAAACAGATTGCTTAAATGAGTGCGAACGCGAGTTTACAAAGTTATTCTGCCATCGCGTTTTCCCCTTAACAAACAATTCCACGAAGTTAAATTACATTTTTGCTTCTATTTTTAGTGCCTATTATTTAACGCGTCTTGAAGCTTTATTACAACACAAAAGATCGAGTACCTGTTATACTTCCTCTTAATAGAACTATAAAGTTGTGAAAATGTAAACAGGTAATAAGGCTTCGGACACGGTCAGTTTCAAAATTTGTTTACCAGGAGTTCGGAATCTAATGACAAAAATAATTAATATTAAAAAGAAATGGGAAATGTACTATTCGATATTGATCGACGTTGCATTCTCTAATCTTACCGCAAAAGAATCTGCTGTTAAAAGGAAAGGCGGGTGAATCTAGAATATCCTGTTGTACGCGCGCTGCAAAGTGGCTCTCCTGCATAGTTTAATTTTATCCTGTGAGATCAGTATTGCGTATGTGTTTAATACATCGATAAACGTGTTTTCTAGTCCCTCGTCTCGTTCGTACGCCTTATCAGCTTTAGCTACTATACTTGCGCAATTGCGCTTGCAACAGAAAAGATATGGAGCGCAATTGAACTAATGCGATGTAATACGCTTTGGTATGTCAACGTTATGTTCTCATAGAATGTGTAATATAATGTTTAGAGCGACTCACTTTGCGAAGTACAATTTTAGTGATACAAACAGTATTTAGGTACACCTGGACCAGTATACTTAATAAAATCAAATTAAAATTAATAAATATATTAATAAATATATCCTTAATTTTTTTATGATGTTAAAGTAAATGTTAATTATATCTTTTAACCGTCAGAAGCAGCCAGCCAGCAGGTTCTAACTCCATTTCCCTCGGTAATGTCTTTCTACGATGGAAATGTCATGGCAAAACCTTTCACCGTGTTCGTCGCTGACATCTGTGGTAATTTTATATTTACAACAAACAATAAAATAACACCTTGTAAAAATTCAAACGACAAAGGGAAATGTTAAATATCGATTTAACATCAATGATAGCATATTTCAATTGAAAGGACGTCCCACTTAGCAATACAATTTAAATTTTAAAATATAGAATGTAGATATATATATATATATATATATTTTTTTTTTTTTTCCTTTTACTGAATACCGAATAAAATGTATAAATAATGTCACTAATTAAATATTTAGCTTTGTGATCAATATCCATTATAATATCCAAATAAAATTTACTTGTGTCAACATATTTTCGCAATGTTAGCTATGAACAGATTTCAGTGATTTAAAAAGATATTTTGGAACCATTGCATTTTCCTTTGACGAATAATCCCATCAAACTAAGCTAACTTCTATTTCTTTTAATAAATATTATTGTTCAATTATTTAACGCTTTTTAGACTGTCAACACGAGAGATCATTGCGAGTCGACGGTGCAATCGAAAGGATCGAGCGTCGAGGTATAGGAATCGAGATAATTTTGTGCGCGGGGCCATTTTCCCCCTGAGACCTGACATTAAGATCCAGCATCGATTTTGCAAGATTCGAGCTTGTTGTTGGCGCGAGTCACGGGAATTCGAAGTGGCTTTTCGCAGCGTGGCTAATAGGTACCTAACTACAAAAGTACGTATAGTTCGACCGCCCATTTACGGAACAACGTGTGTTCACCGAATATCCAGATACAACAATAGGATTCCTAATAAGTGTTCGGAGCTTCGCTTTTGCCACACTCCATCGTTCCGGTTCGCGATTATTCGAGGTTGCGCAATCACGATTGTTAATGAATAACGATCGAGCGGGACTCGATCGGGTCGTATGCACGCGTATGAGCCTTTCTTGCGCGCTTGGTTTATGTGACGTTCGTCGGGACAATTTCGTAGCGGAAAACTTGCGCATGGCAGTTTGACAGAAAAAACGTGCAGGTCCGATAGCGGCGCGAAGCGGAATGAATGAAACCAACTGACCTAATTAACCGATCTTGCACGTTTATAGCCGTCTTATGTAACGAACGCGTGTATATGCGCGTGTGTATCAACTCGTTACATAATTTTATTAGTATATTAATATTGTCGTACTCTCAGGATTATAAAATTATTCCACCGTTAGAGGATATTAGAATTTTCCACGTAATAAAATTTCGACCTGTATACATTATAATATTTTAATATCAAATACGATTCTTTCACACGGCGCGATTGTTTAAAAAAGATTTATCGATCTTTAACGTTTTACTTTCGTTCCGATGTATCTTATTTCCTAGATGTACATTAATACGAATAAAAAAACGTATACTCCTGCAGTATGCATTCCTAATAATAATTTTAGAAATTTTGTTCGTCTCGACTGCTACGCTATTTTCCTTCGTCTCATTCTTACGTTCTCGCGAAACGCTGAAAAAGCCAAGGAGCTTTCCTCATTGAACTGAATGCATACCTTTTATCTACCACTTATTAATTAAATTAAATCAAGTTAATTCAAAATTTAAGACGGCGATCTGTTTACAGACGCTAATTAAAGCAGATGAGAGGAACGGCATTTCTATTCATTCGCCTGAATCTCGCGTTACAACAGTGTCGAAAGAATAAAGAATAGCTACGCCACAGGCGCATTTTGCGCCCAGATTGTAGAGCTGGCGCAGGCAAAAGCCGCATCAGCGAATTATAAGATCTTTGTAAGATATATTTTCAAATGAATTTAACCAAGTGAAATGAGATTTTCTTAGGAAGGAGAATGTACTAGGAACGATCTCCATTTCTTGGCAAGCCTTATGAAATATCGTTCGCGTAGAAATTGGCTACGTGTTTGAATGTCTATGTGATTTTTTAAATTTATATAATATTAATTTGAATGTATGTCTTATTTAAATTAAAAAAGAACACCTAGATGTTCGATGGCTTCTACATTGTGCATTTAATTGTAAAATTTGCTTTGCTTAGTCAAGAACTAAGAAAAAAAGACTTGTTTCCGCATTTTGTAATATCGAAGATAAGGCTCTTTCGCGCGATATTAACCGGATTTTTGCATGGATCGCTCAAATACGAACGATTACACTTCATGTATATGCGTTTTAACTACTATGGACGGATGTGTCCGTGTCGATTTAGTTTTTTTTTCCGCGACTTCTTTCGTTAATATTCTACTTTGATTCACGATCAACTTGGAATAGATATAATTATCAGTACGTATCATAGTTGCAACGGATATACCTATCGATAAGGGCAGTGTGTTGCAAATGGGCAGCGACATTCAATTCCATGCGACTTTGATTCTATTCTTCCTTCGTAACTTTCGATTTGATTGCGAACTTAGTGGACGTACTTTCGGCGTTTCGGAATGGGCGTTTCGGACCGCGACAGCGTTCGTCATCCGACCGTTCGCAACTTACAATAGGATTCCAAATACGTTTCTAATTGTCGAATTTAATCAGATGTGCAATCGATAAGTCTGAATCGATGACGGTACGCGCTGTCGGTCCTTCGAACGATGCCAGATCGGGTTGCAATCGACGATTTGCGGACAGACGATTTAAATGAAACCGCCGAGCGCATCGTGGAAATCTTGCAAATAGGCAAGCAGCTGCGGCATGGTTGGCCGATCCCTGGAGGGACTGAGCCAGCAGGCTTCCATACAGGCGAAGAGCTCATCGGGACAAGGTCTCGGCTGAGCGAGCCGATATCCGTCTCGGAGACACGCCATCATCTCAAACGGGTCCACTTCTACGTACGGCTGTTGACCCAGTGTCGCCAGTTCCCATAGGAAAACCCCGAAGGACCACTTGAAAGCAAAGAAAATATTTCAGTCGAACATCGTATTTTTGTACAAAATGATTTGACATGTTACAATTACAACATAACTTTTATTTTTTAGTCGTTCAAGTAAAAAGACACAAGTTCTGATTTAATATGCACGTACTTTTTGTAAGAATATATTTGTATTTTAAAGCGTGAATTTTAATACGTACAAAATTGTAAATATAAAACAATCTACAATTTTCTTCAGAATTTTATTAGGAATCTCATTATTTGCCGGTATATACATATTAATCCATAGAGATATGTTTAATATTTTTATCTAGATTTGCCAGGAAACGAAAAGAAGTAACACAGTTTTGATTCATGTCTGTGTATATAAATTGGGATCGTACCACGTCGGTCGCCGTGCTGTATTCGTTGCGCTGGAGACTCTCTAGGGCCATCCAGCGTATGGGTCGGTTCTCGTTATCGCCGAGACAATGATAGTCTTGAGGGAAGAGATCTCGAGCCAGGGCAGCATCAGCTAGTCTCACACGAAGGCTGCCCGGTTCGATTATGCAATTTCTGGCAGCGATATCCCTGGAAATTATCGATTCTAAGATGAAAATTATCGTTGACGTTTTGGCGATATTCGTGATAGGCAAACCTCGTACATCGCGAGGGACATTAACGTTATCTTTAATGGTAGCTCTGAGAGATAGCAAGAATAACTTACTTTATTCTATATTCAGTAAATTATTTAATCAGTGCCTTATTTAATAATATATAATCGTTAATTATCAGAAATAGTTTTATTCAATGCAATGTGATAATTTTGTCTGAGAAATTTATTAACTAACGAACTATTATGTTTGTATTTTAAGTTTGAAAATTACTTAAAGTCTTTACGATCATACTAGAAAGGAGGAAATACGATAAATTGCGATAACACGCGATATTATTCGTCACTGATTTTAACGCTGTAATGGAGATGTGGATAATACTTTAGATCAACTGACCTGTGCAGCAGACCTCGCCCGTGAAGGAACGCCCCAGCTCTAGCGACTTGCGCACCAATGTGCACCAAGTCTCTAGTCACCGGATGGTGATTTCCATCCGTAAGGTAGACCTTCAGGTTTAGCTCACCGGGCGTGCTCGTATAAGCCAATAAAGGGCACGAACTGTCCAGACAAGCGGCCGCCAAAGAGGCGATGTTTGTATGAACTAATCCAGCCAGTTGCGAGCCTTCCACGACCAACAGAGAGGCTTGGTAAGCGGATGCGACTTCTGAAACAAACAGTATTATCGAGTATCAATGATACTTGTAATTAAAGCAATCACATCGGAATTGAACATATGTTTTGTCAGAAAACTATTTTTCCTTTCCTGTCGCTCCTATCTAAAAAATATTTTTAACAAATGGCAATGTATCTAACAATTAAAATAAATGAAATAATTAAAGTCCAAACTTATAACTAAAATTATTATTCTGATAAGATAAACTTATGACTTTAATTATTATTTTTCAATAAAGTAAGTTTATCTCTTTTGTTTTATGAAATTGTCTATCTAAATGAAAATCATTTTATAATCATTTGTAAATTATTTCTACAATAAAATAAAGTATTAAACATTGCTCTATCCAATCACATGGAATTACGAATAGCCGATGGTGGATATAATAACTTTCTATTTTATCTTAAACAGATATTCTCGTTGATCCAGCGATCGTTTAAATCATTTTCTGAAAGAGATGTGAAATATGTAAGAAAATCACAATTTTTCGTAATTTTAATTTAATATATTAAACCAATTGCTTTCATCAAATTAAAAATATTAACTAACAAAACTGCAGTATTCCTTAAAAAAAAAAATCTGTAATAAATGCGACTTGATACGTTGCACTGTACATAATTGTGCATTAACGTGATATCGAATATTTTTAAAATTAATAGTCTCACCTGTGACTGTCTTTATGATGACTTCTTGCTCTCGCCCGGCTATCTCCAAAGTTCCTTTGTATACGCGACCGAAAGTACCCTCCTGCACGAGAGTACGGCAGTATAACGCCGATCTCGATATCGCGAGTGCCCTGGCCTTCTCACATGGATCGGTCGACTAAACATCAATAGTACATATTTTCTAAAGAAATTCCATTGAATTCGATAAAAATGAAAAATCTGTTACAAAGGATATTACAATTACAAACATACGTAAAAGTAACAAATTTACTGATGACTGAATAAAAAATTGAAGCTATAGTAATAGTAATAATAATGATATAAAGAAGAACTTTCTATTTTATCTTAAACAGATATTCTGGTTGATCCAGCGATCATTTAAATCATTTTCTGGAAAAGATGTGAGTTCTTCATTCCAGGACGAAATTGCAAAAGAGCGCCTGCAAAAAGTGAAAAATTGCGATTGTCATTTTGCGATGAGAAATGGGACTACGCGATTATTTATATGTTAGTAGTTAACAACCCGGGCTGTCGTTTAAATTCTCAATCGCGCGCGGGGGCGCGCCTGCATAATTCCTAACTTCCGAAAAAAACCTCATCAGGCAGGGATTCATTAAAAAGGCATTTGTCGTGTGTAAGGTGACGCGGACGAGACCTCGCGCGGGTCCTCCGGGGGACGCGCAGGGAAGAATTCTCCCCCCCCCCCGGGGGTCGTTATAGCATCGCTGCGCGCGGCCCTCTTTGTTCGCCAGGCGGATTTCCATCGGAGCCGACGTAAAACGCGAGAAAGCTACGGGAGGGGTGACTATTCATTAATTTCAATTTTCCGGAGTTTTGCCTTCGGCCCCCGCCCATTCCATTTGGACGTACGCACACGCGCGCATAGACGCGGAAACGAGCGTGGAGGGACAGGATGGAGACACGGCGATGAAAAAAAAAAGGAAAGGAGACGACGGAAAACCAGTTCAAAACACGTCGATTGCGACCGCGCCGCGAAATTACCGGGCGATATATTGGATTCGAGAAAGGGGTGCGGCGACGGTCGGCGCGGTAGGTTCGAATGGACGGATAACGCCGTTCCGGGGTTGATTCCGAGAGGGGGTCGGTCCGGAGTGGTCTCTCGGAAATTATTTACGAAATTCCCGGATAGCGCGGGATGCTCGGTGAAAATGCAAACACCGCGGCTAATTCCGCGGCTTATCGGGGTCTGTGATTATTGCAGAGACGAATTGTGTCGGCGCGGCGCGGCGCGGCGCGGGCGCGTCTGGCGAACGTTGTTTTCAACGTGAACAACGGGCGAGCCCGAACGCGAGGACGAATCGCGCGATTCGTCGATCTCGCTTTCTCCCCCTCGCGGGGTTATATTTTCGTCTTTTTTTCCCCCGCGGCTCGGCGGCGCCAATGTATATGCGCTCGCGTGTGCTTTTTTTTCGTTTCCCGATAAAAATGTGATGAGCGAGGTGGAAATTGCCGGGCGGGGACGCGCGCCCGACGCGCCGAAGGTGCGAATGGTATTCGCTGTATTGCGTAACGAAGCTATAAATATAAATTAGATTAGGATTAAGAATTTAAGTTTTATATATTCTTTCCCCCGTCACGGTAATTTTCTAACGTAATTAATCTGAAACTTGAAGTGATTCCTGATTAAATATTACGCCGGATGATTGCGCGACCATTGCATTGAGCAAAAAAGAATTGATTAATATCGGCAGTTCCGAGGGTTCATCAATATACAAGCGAAATAAACCGATTAAGCTGTTAACAACTCGTGCTACAGTTCTGGAATTTGAAACAAAAATCGTGACTTGTGCGATTTGAAATCGAATAATGATTCGCTGCGCGCATGACTTATTTATCGATCGCAGCAGAAAAATAATAGAAGATATATACGTCTGGTGACTATGCGAAATTTTTTACGAATCTAGTAATGGATATTACTTCGCTATTTACATTACGGAATCAGAATCGTAGTATCGAACGTGTATAGCGCCACGGGCGGAGCGTTTTTAGCTCATCTAGCGCGCGGTGCAGCAATTTGATTTATTTACTGAAAGGCTTTCGTCAAACATCACGTTCGTTCGTTCACTCATTCGTACGTTTGTTCGTTCGTTCGCTTCGACCCGCTGAAGGCGCTCTAAAAGCTTCGTTTTCAGACTACCACGCTCGACATATGCCCAGAGCACTTTTAATTCGACCCCGCCGATTTAATAATACGGTTTTCCGTCTCCCTCGATTAAAGCGCCCGCGCCCCGGCTCGGCACGACGGAACGAAACTCCGCGGCCGTGAGAATTAATTAAATCGAAGAATCAGCTTTTACGTAACCCCGCGTAACTAATGTAACACGACGGTTAACTAATATAATGATATATGAATTGTAATTGATAATCCAATCGACGGTACAACTGCAGCGCTTGCAATTTTGTAATTCTATTACTGTCTTGGATAATTACACGTTTTTAATTTGCTGAAAATTATTACCGATGTGAGCTACCGAGTCGCCTCGAGCGATTTACAAGATAAACTGCTAGACGCTCGTTTTTTTCCAAAGTAAACTGCACTCAGCGCCAATTTAACTGGGAGTTTTAACAAAAAGTTTAAGAAAAAGAGAATTTTAAATATAAAACACTTTTAGGAATTAGCATGAGAAGATATTTCTCGATTTATATCTCGTGTTGTAATATTTTCAAAACAAAAACTCGACGGTCAAGCAAAATTTCCTTCACGAGAAAATAAAAGGCAAGGGTCAATCTACGAAAGAGTTAGACTTCTTGGATTTAATTTGCCACTTTTTAGGCAATTAATTGCTCGCTGTTATACGAGTGCGAAATGCGCGGATCAAATGGAACATCGGCAAACACGTGGTCGCGGTTATCTCAATCGCGATCATCGCAACGAAGGTGCTTGCAACTTTTACGAGGGAAAAAAAAACGCCCCGAGTATCGGTGTCCCCGGGCTGGCCATGTGGAAAATGCCGGGTCGTCAGGCTATTCCGCCATTTCGCTGCGCCCGACTCTCTCGCGCGCGGAAATCCGTGGCGGCGGAGGATCCGGGGAGAGCGGAAAGAAGATGTGTATTTGTCCTCGTGCCGAAGATCGTTTCCTCCGATAGACAGCGTCAAGGTAATGGCTTCCCCAGCAATGGGATCTCAAGCGTATCGTTTTACAGGGTGTGGGGTAAGACGCTGTCGCTGGTTTACGTCAGTCGGTCGGTCGGTCGGTCGGTCCGTGAGGCGCCTTCGGGATGGGATGGCTAAGGGCCGCGGTGAGGGTAAGGTTTTCACGAAGGTTCACGGCTACACATCAATCGGTCGGTGCACGTGTACGTGCGTACGTGCCCCGGTGCATGTACGTGAGCGTGAACCGCGTAGGTGATATGCCGACTCTGAGAACGCCTCTGTGTGCACGTTCATAGGGTTGGTTGCGTTCGAGACGGAGCGTCGCGTCGGAGGGTTCGGGCACATACGCGCGTATACCCGGTAAATTGATCCAAGATCAAAGCCGAAACAATCACAGGACCCACTTCCACTCCCTCTCACCCTTTCTCTTCCCTCCCTTCCTCCCCCTCTCTCTCTCTTTCTCCGTCTCTCTCTGTCTGTTTCCCTCGCTGCTGAGCCTCGCCCTCTCGCGTCCTCCTCCTTTCGGTGCGTACCGCGTCTGAGGAGGGCGAGTGCCGGCATCAACATCGGAGACCGCTGTAACCCCCATGTGTGTGAGTGTGTGTAACCCCTGCCTGCCGACGCATTCTCCTTCTCTCTGTCTCTCGCGCTCGACAAAGTGCAGGTGGTATCCAGAAACCGTGTTTCTTTTTCCCGGGGAAATTAATGCAAAACGCTTGTACCGGCGAGAATAGCGCGAACGCTCCGGCAACGCGCGATCTCATATTTATTCGACATTTTCGCGCGACCCTCGCATCGCTCTTTGACTGCCCACTTTGCGGGGAAGATACTCTTCGGTGGATGGCGAGTAATAGCGGCGGGTAATAGCGCGTGCTTCGAAACGGTAGTTAAAACGAAGCGGCGGACCGTGACACGCGGCGATTGCGTGTACAGCCGGTTATTGAAATCGACCTTTACCACTTTTGCTCGTAAATGTCGCTGTATGTACAAATGCCGCGTTACGCGCGAAGATTACGTACGAATTGCTTTATCTTCCTATAAAGATAGTCCTATAAATTATCAGCTTTTGACGAGGTATTTACCTGATGCTACATTTTTGCTTAAACAGAAAATATCGATTTATATATACTATAAATAATAAATAATAAATTCCGGAAAGACCGCAGATGATGTATATTTATATTATATAGATATCTAATATAACAATAATAATTTTATAATATTTTATATTATAAAATATAACATATATATAACTTTTGGTCCTCAAAGCGCATTTTTTATCCTAGTATTTTAATATTATACTAATCAAATGTTATCATTGCGACGATAACAGTGTATGATAGAAAAAAGAATAATTAGTTTAACCAAATGTTGATGAAGCACAAAATAACGGGCCGGTAAGTATATACCCTTCGTTGAAAACCTTCAATTTTATCGGAAAGAATTATACAGCATTTCTTGAAGAAACGGATCCAACGAAGCGCTCGATGGGCCAAACATTTCGTTTTCCCAAACGCGAGCTCAAAGGTATAAAAGGGGATCAAAGGCGCGATCAGCAGTTGTGTCAAAGCAACGACAGAGGCGAGCAAAAAGAGGGAAAAAGAGAGAAAGAGAGAAATTCCGTTTGCTCGAAACGCAAGAAATCGGCCGGCATGCTCGAGAAGACGAAAGTAGAAGCTGTAGAAGCGACTAAGGCACTACACGCGTAGACCTTTTCCCCTTCTCGGGATGGAGGGATGAGAGTTGTAAGTCGGCAGGTTTAGAATCGCTGAATAAAGAGCCGAAGGACTGGAAAGGGTTGGGCCGCGCCAAAGTTGTCCGTGGAAAGCGGCTCGCTCGGCCGCAAACTCGATAAAGTTGCGAGGCGCGGCACTCGTTGTGTATACGGGACGAGACGAGACGGTATAGGACGGGATGCGGGATGAGACAAGAGGAGGAGCCGTCTCGCGCGCCGCTTCCGCTTCCGGTAGTCGGTGGCAGACGCGGAGGAGTTCGCGATAGAGTGAAGTGGAAGGAACGACCGGGGGGAAAATCGGATTTCCTGATGCGCGGTACGAGTTTCGCGTTCGTCGTCGAATCTGTTTCACGGGCTGTTTCGTCGCGATTAGAAAAATCAAGAGTACGCGCGAAAAGAAACAACAAATAAGGTAAATACATCAATGCCCGGACATGTACCTATATGTCTGATGGACATCTTTATCATTTTAGTTCTTAAATAAGTATAATGCGAACTAAAATTAAAGATAAAAATATTAATGCAAGAAAAATATTTTTATCTTTGATTCTTTGATTTTAATTCGCGTTACAACTTATTAGTTAATCTTAAGTGTCCAGGCATTGTTACATTTACCTTAATATCGCGAAACTTGAATATCCATCTATCGAAAAGATAGAAAGAGAAACTATGGATGACAAATTCGGATAATTACTCGAATTACACTCTCCTAATTTATTATTAATTATTTTAAGAATTAAAATTTTAATTAATACTCTGGCAAGTAAAACATTTAAATTTTTCAAAGAGTATCGATATTAATGATAATAAGAAAAGGATTAGCTCAAAATTAATTCAGAAATGCGCTTTTGAAACTAATAAGGTTAACAATAAGTCTAATTTATGTAATATAATAGTGTCAAGCGGTGAAAGAAAACATCATAAAATTGTAATTTTATATGAATATAAAATGATAGTCTCGATACTTCGTATGCACTTTATAACTTCGGACTGACGATGTCGCTTTTCCATCCGCGAAATCGTGTCGTCGCATACCTGGCTGAGATGCGTCACGTGGCTCGCCGCGTAGTAACTGGCTCTGGAACCGCATGGCCTCGCGTACAGCGGCTCGAGGTCGGCGATGGTGGCGTAACTTCCGGAATTCGCGCTTCCGGGCCGTGGGTCGACCCTAACTAAAACGGAACTCCTGGCCAGGCCACCGGTGTCGGCCGCGGAGTAACTGCAGCAGGGCAGAGTTTTCCTGAAAGGGACGAAAGGAATCTCTGTAGCGAACGCGATTGTTACACCCGAGTTAATTATCGTTACAATGGCGCGAAAGCGGGTAAGCGGGTGCTCGAGTAATTGTCACGGAGCTACGGATTCCACCGCGAGACGATTTCGCTGAAACAAAATTTTAACACGCTGCGCCAAGTCTCTTCCGCAAATCCGAGAATCCGCCGTCGAGAGGATTATTTTACGCGATAATTTTGCGCAGGGCGCTTTTGAACAGCGCGCAAATGAAATATCACGCTTTTTTCAGATTCACAAATATTAATTAGTTTCTCTAATACACGTTACGTTACAATCGACTATCGGAGAACAGCTGTCTGACTTTTACAAAGTCCAGTTACAGCTAGGAATTACCTAGCTGTAATTTATAAAAAATACCACGTTTATGATTCAAACATTTGTTACAATTTTCTCTCTCGCTTACTCCTTTTCTAAAAATATATTCAAACTTCAATATTCGCGAACTGAATTTAAAGTAATGTTTTTCAAAACTTTTCTACCCTTTTATTGAATAACGCATCGCTGCATATCGCGTATTTATAAGGCTCCATTGTTATAGGATCAGAAAATCCACACCGTAACCGCTAATTTAACTGCTTTAATTTCGCCTGGGGATCACCGCGTAATAGGTTCTTTTAGCAAAAGCTCTTCCCCGTGGGATGCTGCTCAGGCAGCAATATGTCGAGATAAACGCAGTTCAAATTACAACATCGTTTATAAGATAGACGGTCACTTTATAAAGTCCGACGTATATACACTTCTCTCAAGCAAAAGATAGAAGAGCATAAGTGGGAAGAATGGTGCATTATCATATTTCAGTATACTCCGTCCCACAGCCCTTTACATTACCCTCGACGAGGAATTATCTTCGACAAGAAGTTCCTCGAGTACTCACTCTCTATCTCCAGGAGGATTTACATCTCGTCCCGGATGAGCTCCCGAAAAGCTCTAAATGATCCTCTCTGTCTTTCTCTTTTTCTCTTTCGTACCGTCAACGATCTTTCGCAAGAAGACGCATCAATTCAACTTTAACATAAGAAACTGCTCCTGTATTTTCGATTTAAATTCAATTAAATTTCTCTCTTCTAAATTACTGATCTAATTTAACAACTGTACTCATTTTGACTTATCTGTTCCTCATTTCTGTAGTGCGAGTTTAATATGGTTTAGAAGAAAATACAATAGTTTCAACATAAACAAAAACATTTAAATCAATAAAAATAGAATGGAAACTTTAGATACTTTTTACATCAAAATTATATAAACATGCACTGAAATAATTCTCGCTCATTTTTATTCTAAAATTAAAGTACCGATTACTAGAACAAGAATTTTCGAAGCAGGTCGTTCTATTAAAATAAGGGCGATATTTTCAGAGACACAAGCGGGGAAAAAGAAAAAAAAGGAAAAAGACGGAATGACGACTGAAAAATACCAGCGAGAAATAGAAGAGGATATTTTTAGAGATTTATTGGCCATTTCGTGCATGTAAATCTGCCGCGCCGAACGTATTTCGCTAAAAAGACGAACGATGGAAAAACGCGTACAGCCATCGATTTCAAATATCCCCGGTTCGCTCGTTCGTGCCCGTTTATTTTTACGCGACCCTTACGGAAACGTTTCGCGACCAGATCGACTTCCGACGAATCCGTCTGTACCTGCGAAACCGAGCCCTCCCGCCAGGAACAGAAACGTTAAAGTGTCGTTCGGAAAGTAATATCACTTTTGTAACTCGCGAGCAAGTATTTGCGCTGAAATTTCCATTGAGAATTTATGGCGAAACCGACGACGTGTTCGCCGCCGCAGTATTATCGAAGACGAGCTAACTTTTGATACAATCTGATAAGCTGTGAAAGAGAACGGATGTGATCGAGTATTCTGAACATCTTTACATTTTATATATATTTCTTGGGTAATGGCGCTAAAACACGAATTGGTATATGATATTTTAGCCTAAATAAGCGTTTTTACGAATTAACGAGTCAATAATTTCATTGTAAAAAAAAATTTCTCATCAAAAAAAGAGAAACCAACGTGCGTGTACAGAATTACGTAAGAGCCAATCGAGTCAATACCAAAAAACACAAAAATAAACATCTCATCGGAGGGAATCGAAAAGTTGGAAGACTGCAGCAAAGTTCCGACACGAGTTTCGCGAGTGGCGTAACTCCTGAGAAAACTTTTCGCTGCTTGCCGAATCTCGAAGGCGCCTTTCGTACATCGTGTGCAGTTCGACTGCAGCAAGAAGAAGGGCTTACGAGAGGCGAGGGTTGGCCGTGTTCGCTCGAGCGTACGGATGTAAAATCTGCAGTTTTATCCGCCGGCGGGGATGTACGTCGAACACGGTAGAGACGTTAGAAGGCACAGGGGAGAAAGAAAGAGAGAAAGAGAAGGAGAAAGCAAGGAAAGCAAAGATCCAGACGTTTCTCCGCGTGTTATCGGGGTTGGAGAGCCTCAAAAGAGCTAATATATCCCGGGAGAGACAATTGGCCTACGTCTCGGGAGGAGAGCGTAAAAAAAAAGAGCGAAAGATGATATAAAATGAGGGTGCGCTCCACCCCTGGGTTTCTTATAAAGGCCACTTTGCCATGCGATAAATATTTGATGTCTTCCGCATCTTCCGACGCAAGATCGCATTGTTACGGACGATCGCCGTTCGATCGCATTCGCGTCACGCACCGGGCCAATTGTGCGTTGTTTGTTCGAGCGAAACATCTGTTGCTTTCTTTTTCGTATGCCGCGGTCAGTGCCACGCAGTGAGATATTGATTTCAATTGCGCGACAGATCGCCGTGTAATATTTCAATCTCCAGCGTAAAATAACGCTGGACGTAATAAACGTAATATATCTTCCTGTACATTGCGCGTTTCTTCGCGAAACCCAATGTAGAGATTGATCGGGACAACGAGAAACGGATTCTTTTAGCCTTTAAAACCAATTATAACTTTGTCGAGTATTTATATATATATTATATATATTTATATATATCACAATAACATTATTACTTCAAAATATTTACCAATCACTCATCACAGATGATAAAAAACCTTTTCGATGCATCTGTATATAAATATATACCGATGCTTTATCTGTATATCGAAAAGTTTTCTGTCATATACGATTAGTAAATATTTTAAATAATGATATTATTATCATGAAAGAAAGGCTGCAATAAGTAGTTTCGTGTACGAAGTATAAATGTGTAATAATACTGGCGAAGTTCGTAGAAAGAGCAAATCTCTCCTCCTTATCATTTAACGAGAAAAATTCGCAATGGAGAACATCAAAAGAGCTAATAAATATCCGGGTAAAAGACAATTTTCCCTCTTTGAGACAAACAATGGGGGAAGAGAAGGAAACGGCAGTAAAGCGAGGCAAGAGAGTAGCTTTGTTTCTATATACCCTAACTCCCTGGCAGAGCATGGCATGGTTTCCATCTCGTTCAAGTTCTTCGGTTATGCACCTCCTGAAATAGAGGCACTGGAATGGAACACTCGACGTGCTAAAGTATAAAATAATTACAGTGAAAGTAACGATCGAACTTTAAAGGTAGCGGATAGAAGTTTTCGCATAATATTCATCGTTAATGAGGGTAATGGCGCTAAAACACGATCCGCTTCTCGTTTAACGAGAAAAATTCACGATGAAGATTTTCAGAGGGCTCAATACATTCGAGCAAGGACAATTGGCTCCGGCCGATGGAAAAAGGAGAGACAATCCTATTAAAAGATTTAAAAAAATATTTAAAATACTTTAAACACGAGAAAAATTAGAAACATTTAAAAAAGTTATTTTATTTTATCATAATAAAAATTCACGTTGTAAGCACCAAATAAAATTTAAATAAAGAACAGAGGACAACAAAAAATGGAGGATTGTTAAGAATATTGAATTAACAACAATAACGTACATTTGTGAAGAAAGCGTTATTAATTTGAGAAAGTATATTGCAATTGAGTCCACTCGAGATTCAAGTTGGTACATACACGCGATAAAGGTCGGTCGACGAGCAAAAAGGAAAGAGCACGAATATGGGAAGAGAGGTAAAAGCGGATCTTCTCGACCCCTAACATCCTCCTTACATTCTCTCCCGCAGAAGTCCCCGGATACGAGAAAGGGAGTGCGCATAGCTATGCAATAAAATGTCGGCTGCCGTGCCAAGCAGCCGACGGATCACCGGCGGCTTATTGAAAGGATATTTCATTCGGACGAGTTCCTCCTATCCAGCTTATCCACGCGAATTTCCCGCGGGGGTGCGGAAATCTTTCTGTCGCCCTCCCTTCGCCCCCCCCCCCCCGCCCCTTCTCCTCCTACGACCGGTTTTGCGGTCGCAGCGCCGAGTACGTCTCTCGTATTCGGCAGAAAATTCGCGACGTCGCGCGTGGAACTCGCGCCCGCGCGATACTTTTCGCTCGAGTGACTCGCCGAAAATGAGAGCGCGGCGGAAAAGCCGCATTTACGACGCGTCCTACAACGATGTCTTACGTAATGAAAATCTTTTTTCCCCCCCGAGCGTTTATTTTCGTGTGCGACCGAGCGCACAAAAATCCTTAGAAACGCGAATTTAATAAGCGGCAGAATGAGAAGCCGGATGACGTCCACGTTATTCCCTCGTGTCGGTTTTCTTTCCACCGTGGACGTCGCTAGAAAAACCGCGTTTCACGGTGAACGTGTTTTTGTCGAATTTATTACTATCTCAGTACTTTTTTACCGCCGCGTTTTTAATAATGCGCGCTTTGTTAATTCTAACGAAGCAAAGATTAAGACGAGGAATTTCTGTAGGACCGACTCCGACAAGCCGCTTACTTCGCTCACATCTCAAAAAAACTCTCGTTCTCAATCTTTTCCATTTTTAATAGGAAATTTTAAACGGACAGTTTAAATGCGGAAACAATAGTAGATGAAGATACAGTAATATTAAATACGCAGGGTTCTGTTAATATACTGCTTAATTCTTTGTCGATTAAATATAATATCCGTTGATATCAAATTTTACTCACTGAGATTCTTGAACGCGAGCCTTGCTGTTGCGGATGTATAACGCGCTAGCGACACTGCCGACGACCAGAATTAAGGCGCAAGCACACGTGGCGGCGACGTAGAGCGCACCGGCACCATTCACGAGCGGATCGGGCTCCAAGCGTACTGAATCGTTGCTGGGAGGAGTCTCGACACCTGCAAATACAAGTCAGTTCATCAGTACTTGGAATTTTCATGCGTATTTTGTGTCTTACGCAGTCTTTTTATCGAGAATGATCAGATAAAGTATATTGCATTCGTTCAAAAAATTTCAATTATTGTCGTAAATAAATTGATGTCGGTAATCGAATCAATTTAATAAAACAAAATCGATCTCATTTTTCCGAAAATCCAACGTGTGTTGAACGTCAACTAAAGCACCTCCCTCGTTTAATCTTCCAGAGCATAAACGCGAGAAACAATATATATGACTTAAACAACGTCAATATGTAATTTAATTTGATTTTAATTTTATTTGATTTCCAATTTAAAAAAAAATTGATACGCAATCGATTCGCGTACCCTCTTCACATTTCATTCGACGGTTACGTTTTTATATTCGTATATATTCGATCTGCAAAGCTTGCATGACCGCCATTATAGTATCGGCAATCCATTTTGTCAATTGGAGCATTTCCACTCCAACCACGTGCTCGAGATCCGAATCTATCGGGAAGCCCTTGGACATGGATCGAGCCATTGTTTATACGTATCACAGAGTGCTATCGAACGGGCGGGAATATCGACGAGCACCATGGAAAGTGCTCAAAGAGATCTCACTTTGATGGCGAATCGTTCGCCGGTAAACCACGAATTTTCTGGCAAGTGCAGCCACTATCGCGATTTCGTTCAATTTACTTTTATCTCGCGTATAGCGACGCATTTCTCACGCACCACGGTGTTCTCGAATTACACGTAATTATCCCATCGTTACATTCATTATTTTATGCAACACGTGCATGGAAAGTGCCCCATTACGCACGCTACGCGTGCGTGATAGACCACTTTCCAGGCACTTGCAACATAAAATAGGGAGTGTAAGCCGTGTGTAAAGATGAAAATTCCCGGGTGCGGAGTTTACGCACGAGCCGAAGGCGAGTGCGGTAACCGCACCCGGGAATTTTCATCTTACCTCACTTGTTACACAAATAACTATTTCGTTGTGTTCATTGCTCACTTGAATTGGAAGCAGCATTTAATGCACTTAGAACTTTTCTTCAATTTAGCATTTTATTATTTTATTGTACATCTCAAATCCCGAATTTCTTGAATTTTATTTTGACCGCCAAAAGTCTGCAGTAGAATATTTTTTTTTAAAGTATTTTTATATTATCAAATTACCATATTAGTACTTCCATATTGGGACTTAACGAATTTACAATGTGACGCAATTTTCGTGGAATTGTTACTTGATTAAAATACACGTCTCATAAGAAATCTCAACGAATTAATCAAACCCAGTTGACGTTACTCTCGTTTCTCGCGGGGAAAGCCTGAAAGGAGTTTGTCGAGACTTTTCTTTCGCTGCGTCACGCGTTTACATTTTCCCGCCGGTACCTCGCTTTCTGATATTTCTTTTCTCTCTATCCTTTCGTGCGCGTTTCGCGAGAAGAAAAGACTCGGGTCGAACGGGCGGGGCGCGGCGCCTTGTCGTCTCTTATAAAGGTAAATAACGTGGCCTAGACGGAGGAACTTTAGCGCGAGGGCTCAAAAGCTTTCAAGAACCGAGCACGTCAGCCCCGACTAGGATACGCTGAGGAAAAGGGACGCGCATCCTTTCGGAGCGTCATGATAAAATTAAGTAAACTTCATCAACTCTTGACTCGTCCCCGAGATTATAGCGTCGTATAATCCCTAAATGCATTCCTTCATCGGCATTGCTCGCCTAAAATCCAAAACAGCTCTTCACCCTCCGGTAACTTACGCGCGCCGTAAAGAAGTATAAGATTGTGCATTATCACATTCTGCTTCCCTCCTTGTCTGGAACTCGCGTGTGAGTAATTATTTCTTATACCTAGGACATCGTACGGGATTGTCATATATTTCTCTATACAAATTCCTAGCTACTTTCCTCCTTCAATTTCATGGAAATTTTAATTGCGAAATCTTTACTTGAGATTCGTTACGACTCTCGCCTTCTTTTGTTTGCTACGAAAAAAGCTGAATATAGCGGAAAACATCTTTCAATATATCTGAAAACGTTAACGCAGAATTTTTTTCAAGTTGCAACCTTTTAATGATAAAAGTTAAATTTCTATCGTTGTGATCTAATAGCAAGATGCACACACAATCATGCTTTTTCCCCTCTATATTTATTTGAAAGCCCGGGCTTTTTGTTGCAGAGCAATCTCATCCGAGTAAGTAACATCAACGTTGGTTACGGAAATAAAAAAGAATGCCACGACGTACTCTCTCTGAAATGTTCGTTAAGCTGCAAGTCGTAGTGTATTAAAAATACGCCGCACTGCATTGCTTGCGGCGCGGCGTGAGAAAAATCCACCTCGGAGATTAATACTTGACATAATACACAGTCATCGCGAAATTCTCCTTTCTATCATGGAAAGAAACTAAGAAAGTTGACTGTCAAGGATTAAATTTATAAGCCGTTGATGCTGATATTGAATTACTGTGTTAACGTGCAACGGTGCTCTATATTCTGAGAAATGTCACCTTTTTATACAATATTCTGATTTTTATTATAAAATGTCTCATAAATCTCTTTATATGTAAGCTTTCAATTGTAACTCTGTCCATATAGGATATGACTTTGTGTATTTCATTTTTTTGCTTTTTAAATTCATATCCTTTTTGATTACCCACTGTTTTATAAAACCGATTGATACGTGAACTTTGAAATAATCGTGCAATAAAAAAATATTCGTTTTAATTTAAATCTTATTTATCTTATTCAACTGCTTTTTCACGTTTTCATAAAACTTACACACAAACGCAGTTTTCTAATAAATACGTTATTGGCTGTAAACCATAATATTTAACTTCCCTTTTTCCCCCCTCGCTCATTTCCTCGTTTCATAAAGGAAGGAAACAGGCTTCTTGCCTTTGCCAAGATAACGTAAACCAAGCAAGCGGGTTGCGTGATAACCGAAGTAGAGCATCGCGAACACGAGTTACGAAGACGAGCAAGACGAGAAAGAGTTTGCTCGAGCGCGATGAGACGTGCGCAGGAAGTAGCAGGAAGAAAAAGTTAAATAAATCGTAGCAGTCTTCGGCGTTGCAGTTTCTCAGGGGCAAAACTCGCATCGTTCCTTTGCGCGCTGCAGTCCTTCTATCATCCTAAAATGTTCCTCTCACACGCTACAACGCGCCCGAAATACAAACAAGTATCTTTGAAAGATTTCTACAATTTCTGCGCTAATATTATGTAACTACATCAGATTTCGCATTATTTATTTTTTGACATTTCTCGTAATATTATTAGATTTTCTGAACACGCGATGTAGCTGCAGCTCGATTTTGTTTTACAACTTGTAACGTTATTATTGCGTTCACTTTTACCGCCTATATTACGATTTTTGTCAAAATTAATTTGATATATCATTTAAAAATCGAGTAGTGCATTACGTCGTCTTCATGCTCCGTCTCGATGCTCCGATGCTATAACGAGGGAAATCGATCTCGCAGCGGAGTGTTGCTCACACAACACTCAAAGAACAGTGGAGTACCTATCGACGTAACTTAAGAGCGCGAGCGACGCGCGTTTCCGAAACTTTGAGACTTAAGAGCGACTAACGGAGTCAGGAAGGCGTGTTAAGAGCGACTGCGTATCTCAATTAAATCCGGGCGAGCTATGCTATCTGCTACCATCAAACAGACCTTAACCGAGATTTACGGAGGCCCGGAATTAAGTCTCCGGAGGATTAACAGGATGACCCTCCACCGAATCGCATTCCCTCATTCGCCGGGAGCTCTGTGGACTTTAGAAACAAATTTGGTCATGCTGAGAGGCTTTACGTAAATCACGGAATTATACGTCTCTTGTGCACCGCAGCCTGATATGATTATTTTTATTCTGCAGAATAAAAAAAAACTTTAACATCAATTTAGAAAAAAAAAATCTTTGTGTTCTCATACGCGCATGTCGAATATTTGTAAATCCACAGGGTCGCGTGAAATAAAATTTTTACTAGCGCCACTTTTGTCTCAAATATTTTTTTCGATACTTTTCACGTAGTACGCGTGCACGCTTGCAAAACTTGCAAACATACTCGATAATTCAAAACGTCAACATTTTTCGAGCATATTTGAGATGTAAAATAATTTGAATATTTGAAAACAATATAAAAATCTGAAAAAAATATAGAACGTGAAAACGATCGTCGTTTCAATACGTAAAAAAAAAAACAGCTAATACGCGCTCTCGATGCATCGAAATGATTGAAAAACTGAAGTCGCAGATATTACAGTAGCTAGAGATCGAAGATTAAGAAGTGTAAATCACCGAGTCTTTTATTTTCAATTTGACAGGAGATTTCCAATATATGGAATTCTACGCGAACGTCGAGTGTCGAGTATAGAGACTCCATATATAAAGAATTCGATTATTTTCAAGTGATCTCGAGTGCGCTTTCGGATTGCAGCAAGACCTCTCGAGCTCGAAACGATCGCCGAAGGACTCGTCAGAGCGCGGCTAGTACTTTGGCGATGTAGGAGCGGAACGAGGAAGAAGCAAATTCGACAAAGCGGGAAATCTGCTCTTCAGGACGCGACTAAGGCCCTCACCGCGGAGACGCTTACTTATTTTCATCCTTCTCCCTGCCTTTCCGCCGTACCTCTGTCCACCTACTTCGTTTTTCTACGCGGCCGACCCTCTTGATCTTCGGCGAGGGATGGTATCCTCTGCCTCTTCTCTTCTCTTTCATTAAATACACCGACCCCCGGCGAGATTCAATTTTACTCGGCGGATTGCTTTTTGTTGTACCGTCGCCTGCTTCGGTAACCGGATCCGAATCTGCGCTTCTTTCTCTCTCGCTCTCTCTCTCTTTCCTCTTTCCTCTTTGCTTCTTCTTCTTCTTTTCATCTCCTTCTCTTTGTCGTCGCCATTCTCTGCCGTCGGATTGTTTTCTATCACTTAAACGCATATATTTTCCGGCACAAGCAATATTCAGTTACCAACTTGGCGTGTAGTGGCTTGAAACAAATGTTCACCGAGTTTCAAGATAATTGTGTGCGTAACATGTAATTAACATGTATGCAATATCAAGCATGAGGATACAACATGACAATAATAAAATTTATTTAAAAATCTATCCGGTTTTTGGTTCCGTATCTAACAATATTATTTACATCTTAGAGAACAAAATGCAAAAATTTAGTTTCAATTTAAAAATACGTTTCTTTCATCTCTTTTATTCGGCGAATAAATTTAGCTCATCTCCTTCTATCGGAAATCAATATTAATTTTTTCCTCATTTACAAAAAAAGTGAAAAAAATAGTATGACTACGGTTCTAATTTAGTTCGGGCGGCACTTTTATTTACCGGAAACTGCATACAAAATTCGCTTTAGTTAACGCAAAATTTGTATGGAATATATTGGCAGGCTATTATGACGCGAGAGAAACGAAAATCGGGGCTATTTGCCAGATTGCATTCATCGCTGCTGCGTGGCTTGTTTTTTTAGAAAACATACGTTTTCGAGGTTACATGAGGTTTGCGGAGTCGAGAGAACCGCCTGTGAAGTACCTATGAGTACAAGCTTACGAGCACCCTTGTCGGAAGTGGCGCGGAAATTACGTTTGTACCCTCGCCCCGGTCCGTTATTTCCATTTCTCCCGCATAACGTCAACTGAACGTACGTATATGTGTGTGTGTATATATATATATAATTTCATTATTTAAACATAATTAATTATTAAAACGACCGTACTCTCTGCATTTAGAATATGACGACGTTTACTTAGGAGAGATCCGGAAAGATAATTGCCGTGAAAGATATTTGCTATGAAATAGTTAATATAGATTAATACTTTATAAAATTGTAATCACGTTACTCTACGGTTGGTGTTAATAAAAAGTTTATCGTGTATTCAATATTGTTGTATCAACTGCAGCGCGAAATTGAGTGTTCGAACTACTTCTCGATAATATCAACGTGATTAACTCGCAGCTGCTTTATCCCGCGTTTCAAAAACCTGTCATTGTTATTCTTTTCGACGCGTTATAAACGTTTAAACATCGCGACGTCAAAGTTATCAGTCCGCAGCAGAGTTCACAAATCGCGTGGATAAATTGAGTTTGCGCGTGACGCGAAATGAATGCGCGTTCCCGGTTTTAATCGCGACCGCGTCGAAACTGTCTCGCCGTAACGAAGATATTCAGCCGAGTACGCGCGAACGTGCTAATTAAATCCGAGATTACGTAAACGAAATAATTATCAACAGACTGCAATGGCGTTAAAGTGAATGTAGATAAACGAAAAGCGGCGTTTCAGCGCGAACCGCAGGACATGCAAAAGCGAGTAGCATGTGTTATATAGATAACAAAGCTTAAATAATAATAGTACCCCTTTGAAATGGATCTTCATATAGCGCACCGTAGATCAATATTGCCATTGAAAATAACAAGACAATAAATAAATCACGCTTGTTATATTTAAAAACAATACAGGATAGTTAAAAGCCAAAATTCGAGCAATATAGAATTTACTGTTGAATTAATCTAATTTATTGTCCAATGATAGAAGAAACGTTCTGATTAATAATTTATTAATAATTACAGCATGGTCTTCGAAACAAGAATTTAGGGTTACATATATTCTATGTCCTAATATCCTTATATCTGAATTTAGGATATAACTCTAAATCCTCTCGAATTGAAGACCATGCTGTAACTATTAATCACAATGTTTCTTCTACCGTTGAACAATGAACTAATTAATTTAAAGTAACGTTCTTTGTTGCTTGTATTTTAGCCTTTGACTTTCCTACGTTGAAAATAACAAAGCACAGAAAGCCACACACCAACGTGATACTGCAACTATTAATTAACGTTCGTGAATTATTTTATAAAGTTACTTAATTTACACAATTTTGCATATTGTATTACAACCAAATGTATTGATTAATTAAGGAGGAAGGGGTTACGGTTATGAAATAAATATAAATCTGAAAAAGCGTGAAAGAGAGAGAGAGAGAGAGAATCGGGTAAACATTATTCAAAATTCAAGAGGAGTTACAATTTTAATTACGCCGGTAAAACGCTACTAAGCGGAAGAGTTAAATAATTCACACTTTAGCATTTTCAAATTTTAAGTGAGACAAACAGCGCGCGTCGTCATGATTCTTTCATAGATTCTGAATAAAGCAAGCGGAAGAAGAAAACGCTGTTCGTTCCTTCAACAACAGAAAAAAAAGAATGAAATCTAGGATCCGGATCTGGTTGCCGGTTAATGCGCGGCTGCCATGAGAATCGCGCGGGATTTCAGTGCACCGCACTAAATTCCATGCGCGAGAATAAATGAAATAGGGGGCACCGCTTTTTCTCATGTACGAGAACAATAAAGCGCGATTAGCCTTGTCGACATTTTTCAAAATTAGCATAACGACTTCTTGCAAGAAGCACGCATAATCGTCACGCGCGCGCGCGCGCGAGATGCCACCGCCGCGCACTATAGCTGGATATATCACTGCCCACACGAACCTTTCAAGCAGATCTTGTTCCTCTTGAAGACTAAGACGGTGTCGTTGTACCTAGTGCCGGGCGGCGCGGTGACATTCAATCTGAGCGCCAGTGGAATTTCGGCGCTAACGACACCCGAGCAGGGCAATCTGATCCTGAAGACCTGCAGGGTGACCGGTACCTCGCCTCTGGCGGACACGTTCACCCTCGGTGGCAGCAACGCCATCATCCCGGAAGACGGTCCACCCGGCACGCCCGGTACCACGTCGTAATCCAGTTCCATTGAATACGGTAACTGAAAGAAAAGATATGCCTGTCAAATAATTTGACATTCGACAGACAGGGATTTTATGTCATATGTACGTTGTTATTGCAAAATTGTCATAGATCACTTCGTATAGATCATTCTTCAACATAAGGCAAATTTTCAAGAAACTTTATTTACACTGGTGCTTCAATACAAGCTTCCTTCTGGCGAGCCGATATTTCGTACTGGGGAAAGTATTCCGGTTATCGTCCGCCGGACGATATGCCGGCACGTAATAAAAATAGCGCGGCGCCCATAACTCATGAAAATGCCAGACTCGCGGTCCCTTCTCGCGGTCGCCGCATATACGATTGCGCATATTAACGTTATAGATATATGAATATATACCTAATATATATATATATATATATATATATATATATATATATATATATAT